AGACCTTGTACCAAGGCCTAATTTAGCCTCTTCCGAAATTACTGCAAAAAGAAAGAAGGCGAACAAACTACAGCGCGAAACACATGTGGCGGTATGGCAACCGTTTCATTACCGAAGAATTTTGACGACGGATATGGCGTCTGATTTCAGCACAAAAGAAACCAGAGAGACGGCGACGACGAGGATGTCAAGCAGATTGAAGGCATTCCGACAGAATGAGCCTTTATGAAATACTAGTCCAAAAACGACGACCTGAAATAGGTAGGAAGGAGTTAAGGTAGAGTAGAAAAGAGAAAGGATTGATACCTTCAAAGTGATCTCTATAGTGAACACAGTGGTGAAGAAGTAGTCAAAGTAGTTGAGAACCTAAAAATTTTTAAAAAATGTTTAATACTTCTATAGAAGCCTGGATCGACTTGGCCCGTTACCGTATTTCTACTAGAGTTCGCCTCAAGAGGATCTTCTGCAGCTAACATAGCGGATGAGACAAGGATACATACCAGAACGCTGTTTGTAAAGTACGAGTGATTGACTATTTTGTTACAAAACACCCTAAAAAATGTGTTTTCTCTATTTTTCGGTCATATATGTATTTCCGAGCTGCGCAAACCTGAATGGATTCGTGTGGCTAAGGATGAAAAGCGATGATGCCTTTGGTATTGGCTTGTGAGGCGTTGTTTGCGGTAACTCGCTCATCCGCCTAGGACGAGCTGTTACCAGATCATCGCCAGTTTCCTGCTCTTCCATGTCCATCCTAAATCGCTCACATAACGGGACGGTTTTGAAACAAAGCATCTGCAGAGAAGTAAAAAATCAAGAAATTTCGAAAGGCAAAGTTGACTCAACAAAGTAACTAGTAGTAATTGCTAAAGGACATGGAGACCATAAAAAACGTATTTATCTGGCGGAAGAGGTTTTCTGTTCTGTAATTTAATTTATTTTTTTTTTAAATTTTCATGTATTTAAATCTATATTTTACTATACAGTTTAACATTAATTCCAAGCACTGATTGAAATAAGGAATGCAAAACTAGAACATCGTATTCATTTTGTAAGTAAATCCTACAACTGCGACTGCTTTGCACATATTCTTCACAGCATGCATGCTAATTCTACAATCGGACATAGCTGATGTTAATATTTTCGAAGTGGCCGTTCATAACCAAAACATATACCAAAAACATTTTTTTGTGAAAGGCTAAATATCTACCAAAAACGTTTTTTTTTTGTGAAAGGCTATCTCAAATTTATGTTGCACATCTGCTGAACAGTTTTCTGGACAATATTCAATGGAAAT